CAGTACTTGCAGAAGAAAGAAGAAACAAGAAAATAGTTTTGCAAATATGTTAACGCTTCAAGGGGGAATCCTCTATGACGTCAGACCACACAAGGGGTACAGTCAAACTATTGACCATTCAACAGTTCGCGAACGTTGATGTTTTTAGAATTTCAGAAAACAGTAAAAAATACCAATTACATTTACATAAGGTATCGGGTAATAAAATACAATATTGTTTTATTTCATTAAGGTTACATTTGTATCAACAGACATTACAATAATAATTATTATAATATAGTAATATGCAATGTTAACTGTTTTGTATAATGCAATGAATAGGGAAAAAAATCTGAATAAAAATTTATAGAATCATGAGAACTTTTGCTTATATTATTTTATATCATGCTGATACCATGAGTACTCTACTTTTTAATATTCTTCCTCAGATGTGTTTTTAAACTTTTGGACCGTGGCCTCCACTAGGTGGTGGCTCTTGTTTTTTTTAAAGTTAAACTCAACATATGGCATGTGGAACATGCCACGGCCATTCCAAACTTTCAATGCTGAGAAGTTTGCAGTTACTTCTAGAGAAGAGATGTCTTACATAATCATGAAATTGAGGAAACTATCTGCTGGCAAACTATAAACCTGGTGCTGTTACCTAGGATACTGTAAATATGGTACCAACTGTTAGCTAGTATGCTGTAAAATTAGTGCAGTTTGGATGTTAGTTACTCTATTATAACCTGGTGCTCACAGTTGTTACGGTACCTTCTAGAATACTTTAAACCTGATACATGTGTTGTTACCATTTATAAGTACATGGTTATACATACATGTACGCAAAATGATAATTAAATAATGCCAAAACAATGATTAGAACAATACCCTTGCTGTTTCTGTAAAACTGACTTGTTTTCCATTAAATTTGGACCTATTAAACCATTAATAACATTTGCTTGGATTTCAATATCATTATTGAACAGTAAACATTTTATAGTGGTCTATCAAATGTTTTGAACTTGATACTGTTTGTATACTGTACCTGTTGTTATTGCTAGCCTACAGCATTCAAAATGTTAATAATTATAATGTCTCACTTTTGATGTGTTAAATATAAATAAAACAACGTACACAGGCTGTCCAGCGTCCCTGAAATTCCTGGAAAATCCATTTTTTTTTTCAGTTTGGCTAAAATTCCTAAAAAATTGAAAAATTCAAAGAGAATTCCTTATATAATAATTCCTATTATTATTTGAAGATAAAACATGGGAAAATTACTGGCTTCTCAGATATCACCAGATGTTGGTCCGGGGGATGACAACGACTGCATCAATTTTAGACTCATCCGAAATTGTGTTAGAGTTACCTCCCCTCTCCCGCCAATATGTCCACGTTGCAAATCCATAAACAAAAGATATTTGAGAAGCCTAGTAATTAGTTGCTAATTAAAGGGTGATACTACATATCTAAATGCTGGCTAGGGACAGGATTATACAGACTCACTTTATGCGATATAATGATCGTAAAGATCGTAAAAAATGAATCCAAGAAAAAGGAGAAAATTGTTGACCTGGTTAATTGGCATTTTTGTTTCACTTTTGACGTTTTATTTTGTGAAAAATGCATACACATTCGTTGTCATGAAAAAACTGGGAGCCAGATTGAAACCAGGGGTATGTATATTCATTAGAGCATGAACTGTTTGTTTTTTTTTTTATTGTTTTTTTAATCAGAATAAGAAATTTTGCATGTCGGTATAGATATACATGTATAATTACATGTTATTTCTAAGATAATAGACGTGTACAATGTACAGTGTACACATTTTTATTATTGAATTTTGAATATGAAATTTTCTATCTAGGTGACCAAATAACGATATTGTCAGATTGTGAATTAAGCATGAACTGTCAATTATTACGGTGTTAAAACCTTTAACTGCTTCTCTGACTTTGGCAAAACTACAAACTTGACATTGATGGAACATTGATTGGGGTGGTAGGGAGCTAGAAAACAAGGATGAGACATATTCAATGCTAGATGTGCCTGCACTGAACTACTCAGAGGAATTGAGTTTGAGAACTGAGGAGGGTAAGTGGTTCCAATGGGAAACAGTCCCAAGGAAAGGAAGAGATTTATAAAAGTTTGAAGTTCCTGTAAATAACCAATAGCACAGGGGATGGTCATGGCCAAGATGGCGTATTTGAATATTCTTCAATTAGGGTAGAAATTTGAGTGTGTACATTGTTAATTTAATTTTCATCTGTCAGACTGTCACTCATTAAATGGGCTGTAAAATCAGTTATATGCATGACTAATTGTTTGACATATCAGGTCAAAATGATGGTTGTTACTGTAGCAAAAGTAGTCAAAAAGTGTTGTGATTATGTGACAACTTTATTTGACAATGATGAAAATTCAGTTACATACAACACTGTGTTATAAAATTATGTTTATGAATGCATAATTCTTTCTGGAGACCCCTAATTGACATTTATTTATTAATAGGGAAATCATGTGAAATAAAAGATTTTTGTGTCGCCTCTACAGAGTAGTGGCAGCATATAGGGATCACTTCTCCGTCGTCTGTCTGTTCGTCTGTCCTTCCGCACAAACATTTTAGGTATATGAGCTAACTAACGGTACACTGGGACAATAGAGAACCAAGGACTTCATTCCATGAATAATAGTTAGCTCATAAGGAAACAGAAGAAAAGAACAATAGAAATAGCTCATAAACCTGAAAAATTGGTACTTCCGTCTGTCCGTCCGTCACAAAACTTATCCAGACTACTCCTCATAAACTACTGGTGCAATTTCATCCAAACTTAACAGGAATGATCAGTACCAAGTCTAGTTGTGCATATTGTCAGCATTTTCCGGTTCAATGATTTTTGTCAGAGTTATGGCCCTTTAATAATTTTTATTTTTAAAGTTTGTCCGGACTACTTCTCTTTTACCACTAATGCAATTTCAATGAAACTTTACTACAGGATTGATCTGTAGCTCAAGTCCTTGCGTACATTGCACGGGTTTTCCGGTTGAATGATTTTTGGCCGAGTTATGGCCCTTTGATAAAAAGGTGTTTTTTTCTGTGTGTTGCCAGATACACAAAAGCTTGTCTGGACTACTCCTCATAAACTACTGGTGCAATTTTATCCAAACTTTACAGGAATGATCAGTACCAAGTCTAGTTGTGCACTGTCCGTCTGTCACAAAACTTGTCCCAACATGAAATTGGCCATCATGAGCAGACCTGGGGTAATCATTAATTGTAATCATTAATTGTAATCATTGATTTTTTAATTGATTACACAATTACACTATAATCATCATGTAATTGATTACCTTGCCCAAAATTGATTAACTTAATTGTAATTAATCAATTACAGCTAAAATTCAGTCAGTAATTATGATTACAATTTGATCGACATTGATTACATTCAGATTTAACAGGAAACTATTTCAATTCAAAGGATGCCTTTATTTTACATGAATGATGATATAGTTTAAAATTTTGTTTTACATTTATACAGTAAAAGCCCTTAATAAGTTAATTAAGACCATCATCTGGGCTGGACCAAAGTGGTCTTAATTATTGGTGGTCTTAATTGCAAATATTCTTATCATTGCTTACATTCTTTATGACCATGGTCTTTTTTAGTCATTTAAATCACCTATCAAATAAAAATTAATTCTTCACAAAATGAATTTGCTGAAAATCTAATTTTTTCCTTCTCACCTTATTTCATACAATAACCCAATAATAACATTTTTTCACACCTTGTGAAATTAAGTGTCATGCAAAGCATTCAAGCAGATCATAACAACAAATATAAAATCTAGATAGGTGTTGACTTTAATATCTGCTCGCCCATATGGTCTCTTTCCGGTGGCGAGGGTAAACAAACGCAAACACACACACACTTTAATATCAGTGGTCTCAATAGTGGGGTCAAATTAAGAATAAAGCAAATAATATGAACTGAATCAGGTGGTCTTAAAAGTAGATACGCAGTTGTTCCTAATTCTGGATCATGTCAACATTGACATAAAGAACCTAGTAAAAAATAGTCTTATTAGTAGGGATTCTACTTTACATTTAATGTAATCAATTATCAATCAATTACTCTCTTAAAGTAATTGTAATTCAATTGATTACAGAAGCAAGTCTGAGTAATCAATAATAATCAATAACAATAAAATCTGAAAGTAATTGTAATTAAATCAATTACTGATCAATGTAATCATCCCCAGGTCTGATCATGAGGCGACACATGTGATCACTGATCGCTCTTGTATATGGAAAGCAGAACTGGGACTTGCATATCCAGTATTATTTGGCAGGTTATTTGGCTTTCAGCTGCTGTCGTTTCCATTGAATATGCCCAAAATCTACAATATTTAAGGATGCATATGCGTCAATATATAGTTTGATGCAATTTAGTAGATCAGACAAAAATCTTTCAAAAATATTAAATTATCAATTTCTTGAATCCTGTTTCATAGAAATACCATAGGAACTCTGGAACAGGACCGCATATTGCGGCGCATAAATCCAAATCCGTACCGGCTTTACATATTATTTGTCCGACCTTTGAATATCTTTTCATATCATGCGAGCGGGTGGTCTTTAAGTATCTAATCTCAATTAAATATAATCTGCTAATTTAAAAATCAGTCAAATTTACGGTATATTGAAAAAAGTAAAGGAGTGACATCCGCCATTTACCGAAATGTTCGGTGTAAGTTATCCCCCTTAATATGCTTGATTTTTGTTTTAATTTTTCTAGTAATGAATACAAGATGAGTGCCTAAAATATTTATCTATGGATCATGTTTTAATATTCCTTTTTTCAGTTAGGCAAAATCAGTTGGACCATATTACTAAAGTGTCTGTTTTCTCCATTTTAACAAATCAATACACGAATACGCCCGTTATATTGCCGCCTATACATGTCAACACGTGTAAACAATAAACCGTTAACGTTATATCCGGACGATACCTGATAGTTGACAAAAATAACGGGAACAAAATTCTGAAAAACTAGTAATCAATTGTAGCCAAAGGGGAAAAACTCATGCCGAAAACGTTGCGGCAAATGGCGGATGTCACTCCTTGTCTTTTTAGCTCACCTGTCACAAAGTGACAGGGTGAGCTTTTGTGATCGCTTTTCGTCCGGCGTCCGTCCGTCCGTCCGTAAACTTTTACTTTAAATGACATCTCCTCATAAACCACTAAGCCAATTTCATCCAAACTTCACAGGAATGTTCCTTTGGTGGTCACCTTTTAAAATTTTTCAAAGAATTTAATTCCATGCGGAACTCTGGTTGCCATGGCAGCCGAAAGAAAAAACTTTAAATATCTTCTTTTAAAAAACCATAAGAGCTAGAGCTTAGATATTTGGCATGAAACATCTTCTAGTGAGTGTCTACCAAGTTTGTTCAAATAAAAGCCCTGTGGTCAAAATTGGCCCCGCCCCGGAGGGTCATTGATTTTCCCTATATGCATATAGTAAAAACTTAAAAAATCTTCTTTTAAAGAACCCAAAGAACTAGAGCTAAGATATTTAGCATGAAACATGTTCTAATGGGTGTCTACCAAGTTTGTTCAAATAAAAGCCCTGGGGTCAAAATTGGCCCCGCCCTGGGGGGTCATTGATTTTCCCTATATGCATATAGTAAAAACTTAAAAAATCTTCTTTTAAAGAACTCAAAGAGCTATGGCTAAGATATTGAGCATCAAACATGTTCTAATAGGTGTCTACCAAGTTTGTTCAAATAAAAGCCCTGGGGTCAAAATTGGCCCGGCCCCAGGGGGTCATTGATTTTCCCTATATGTATATAGTAAAAACTTAAAAAATCTTCTTTAAGAGAACCAAAAGAGTTAGAGCTAAGATATTTAGCATGAAACATGTTCTAATAAGTGTCTACCAAGTTTGTTCAAATAAAAGCCCTGGGGTCAAAATTGGCCCCGCCCTGGGGGGTCATTGATTTTCCCTATATGCATATAGTAAAAACTTAAAAAATCTTCTTTTAAAGAACTCAAAGAGCTATGGCTAAGATATTTAGCATCAAACATGTTCTAATAGGTGTCTACCAAGTTTGTTCAAATAAAAGCCCTGGGGTCAAAATTGGCACCGCCCCGGGGGTCATTGATTTTCCTTATATGTGTACAGCAAAAACTTAAAAAATCTTCTTTGAAAAAACCCAAATAGCTAGAGTTAAGATATTAAGCATGAAACATCTTTTAGTGAGTGTCTACAAAGTTTTTTCAAATAAAAGACCTGGGGTCAAAATTGGCCCCGCCCCGGGGGTCATTGATTTTCTTTATATGTGTATAGCAAAAACTTAAAATCTTCTTTGAAAAAACCCAAATAGCTAGAGTTTAGATATTAAGCATGAAACATCTTCTAGTAAGTAGTAAGTGTCTACAAAGTTTGTTCAAATAAAAGCCCTGGGGTCAAAACTGGCCCGGCCCCAGTGGTGTCATTGTTTTTAACTATATGTGTATAGTAAAAACTTTAAAAAAATCTTCTTTTAAAAAGCCCAATGAGGTAGAGCTTAGATGTTTAGCATGAAACATCTTCTTATGGGTGTCTACCAAGTTTGTGCAAATAAAAGCCCTTGGGTTAAATTGGCCCTGCAACGTTGGGGGGTGGGGGTTGGGGGGGGCCTATATACAGGTGAGCAACCTCAGGGCCATCATGGCCCTCTTGTTTTATAATACCGTAAAATTTGACCAGTTTTAAAAGAGACAGATTGGGTTCAATTGATAATATATTTTTTGAGTCCATACACTCGGATAATACTAAAATATATTTAGATGTAGCAGAAACGTTTTTTAAAACCGTTACAAGATCGAAAATATACGCCGCAATCTGCGGTCCCGTTCTCGAGTTCCTATGAGAAATACTAAAATTTCTAATTTTGACAGAGTTTATGGGAAAATACTGTAACATGCCTTATAATTGTTTAAAGCGAGTAGAAAAATATAAACCGTCTGCAGCAGTTAGCTGACAGATCAGTACAGAAGCGTAGCATGTGAGGAAAGCAATCCCCCATCTCCCACCCCATCCCCTATCATTCTATAAAAATAACACACTGTAATAAACTTTTGTAAAAAAAAAGGTTACTGTTGAAATTATCTACCGTACATTGATCCATCCCCTATAGTCAAAAAGGTATGAACGTGTTTAAAATTGGTTGTGTGAATAAAGGAGAAGCTGTAAGTGTTACACATTTATAAACGTATCTTGATATTACTCCTAATTTTGCTCCAGGAATATCTGGTAGATTTCGGTGACTTTGAAATGGCAAAGTTTTTGACTGTGAATGAACCCGGTATAAATCCCTTGCAAGGAAGACAGGATCGAAATATCACCACACTACACCGGCAGCATCCAGATACCAGACCAGCCATGTAAATATTGTTAACAATTATTAATATGAGCCGCTCACGACAAAACCAACGTATTGCGTTTGCGACCAACATATATCCAAACCAGCCAGCGCAGTCTGACCAGGATCCATGCTGTTCGCTTACCAACTCTATTTCAAGTAGAGAAACTGATAGCAAACAGCATGGATCCTGATCAGACTGTGCGGATGCGCAGGCTGGTCTGGATCCATGCTGGTCGCAAACGAACTATGTTGGTTTTGTCGTGACGCGGCTCATATATCTTTTAAAGCTGCATGCCTCCAGATGAGCCAAATTATTTCAAGAAAATCAAACTTGAGAAACATGTACGAAGATTTTAAGAAAAGTAAAAAAGAATCCTGATTCAAGTAATAATTTTTATATTCTGTGTGATTAATGACTGATTTTGCAGTATTTTATCACCATATTGCTACTGAGTGACTAACACAGTAAGGACTGTTTTTGTATATTTTGAGCTCTTAATGGTATTTTTCATGGATTGTAAGTGCCATTTGTAATGTGCAAACTACTTTTCTTTATTTACTTCTTTTAAAACACATTCAAAATTTTCATGAAAATTAGCATGAATCTGGAGACTTGCTGCTTTAACAAAACTATCAAAAGTATATGAATATATTTTAACTTGAAAGGTTTGTAGAGGCTAGCCTATAAGTAGATATATAAGTAATTAATTAAACCTAACCTACAAGTGTTTGATTAACTATAACTCTGCTGAAAAGGAAAGTGATTAGCTTCTGCCAACAGTATAGAGCCAAACTGGCTTGCAGATTAATGCAGTCTGACCAGGCTCTTTACTTTTGACCAGTTAACATTTTGGTGATAGAAGTAATCTTGATATACTAAAAAAAATCTAATGAACAGTTCCCATATTGGAAGCTGGACAAGTTCATTTAAAAAATTTAGCAGAGTGAGAGAGTTAATTTTTGAGAACAGATAGATGTCTAGATGTCACTATTTACTCATTTGAGCCGCGTCAAGGCAAAACCAACATTATGGGTTTGCGACCAGCATGGATCCTGACCAGCCTGTACATCTGCGCAGTCTGATCAGGATCTATGCTGTTCGCTTACAAACCCTATTACAAGTAGAGAAACTGATAGCGAACAGCATGGATCCTGATCAGACAGCGCGGATGCGCAGGCTGGTCTGGATCAATGCTGGTCACAAACCCACTATGTTGGTTTTGTCATGACGCGGCTCATTTTATTCTAATGATTATTCCACCAGTGTAGAGTCTTGCATAGTTTTTATCCCCTCAGTATAAATGTAATATATATATTACAAGATTCTTGTACCCTGGGTGGGCACTTAATATATATTTGATTGTATATGTTTTTCATTGAACCATATTTTAATAATGTTTAATTTTTGCTTCAGATGTTTGTCAAAGAAGGAAAGTATTATATCTCTACAAACCAGTATTATTGTCTATTATAACAATCAAATGAGGTTAAATCTACTGAAAATTATATACAGGTAAAAACAAATTAAATAATTTTCTATGATATCTTCATAGTATGTTTTGTATATTGTTAATTACATGAGTTTTTGGTAAACTTAATACAGTCAAATATTTCGTTTCATTTGTCATTTCAGTAAAGTAGAACATTAAATTTAAAACAAGTCATTGATATATATAATGAGTAAAGTGGTGTCAGTGGCCAAGTGGTAAAGGGTGTTGACTTCAAACCTCTTGCTCCCTTATCAATGTAGGTTTGAACCACGCCAGTGACTTTGGATTATTTCATATGAAGAAGTTATTCAGCTAGCTTGAAAAATGTTGATGGTATACAGGTGCCCTCTTGTGCATGAAATAATGCAAGGAGAGGCACCTAAGGTCTACCTTCACAAATAAAGCTAGTGGTTTGTCATTGGACCTCTACTGTTTTTGTGCTACGTAAATCCAACTGGAAAATAAAAAAAGGGGAAACTAGCATATCTTTTTACACATACAATGTACATGTAGTTTTGAATATGTAGCTCTCAATGTTGTCACATTGTTTGCTTTGTAATTTAAATGCATGATTTGTTTGTTTCAGTATTTTGTTAAGAACCCCACCAGAGTTGATCCTTGAAATCCTACTGCTGGATGATAATAGTGAAGATGGTATGTGGAAATTTGTCAGTGGTACTGTAGTATCGTATGACAGGTACAGTAGTTGGAACATCGGTTTTACCGGCATACCAGTGTTATTGCACAACTACTGAATTAACAATTTTGAAAGAAAATAACTATTAAAAAGCACCAAGTCTTATTTATTTTGTAGAAATGGTGACTTTGTATGAGCAATTACGGCAACCAGATATCTGAAAGTAAAATACATAGTTTTAGGATTTTGTTAGTTTGTATGCTAGCATACAAAATGCAGCTCTACTAACTCGTTACAGTCAAATTTTGCCTATCAGACCTATCACGTCCATTTCCATACTTTGACCACCATTATGGTTGGTCTTACTTTAGGCTATCACGTCCATTTCCATACTTTGACCACCATTATGGTTGGTCTTACTTTAGGCTATCAAGTGTATTTCCATACTTTGACCACCATTATGGTTGGTCTTACTTTAGGCTATCACGTCCATTTCCATACTTTGACCACCATTATGGTTGGTCTTACTTTAGGCTATCAAGTGTATTTCCATACTTTGACCACCATTATGCTTGGTCTTACTTTAGGCTATCACGTCCATTTCCATACTTTGACCACCATTATGGTTGGTCTTACTTTAGGCTATCAAGTGTATTTCCATACTTTGACCACCATTATGGTTGGTCTTACTTTAGGCGGTCAAGTGTATTTCCATACTTTGACCACCATTATGGTTGGTCTTACTTTTGGCTATCAAGTCCATTTCCATACTTTGACCACAATTATGGTTGGTCTTACTTTTGGCTATCAAGTCCATTTCCCTATTCTGACCACCATTATGGTAGGTCTTACTATAGGCTAACAAGTCCATTGTCATACTTTGACCATCATTATGGTTGGTCTTACTTTAGGCTATCAAGTCCATTGTCATAATTTGACGATCATTATGGTTTATCTTACCTTAGGCTATCAAGTATATTTCCATACGTTGACCACCATTATGGTTGGTCTTACTTTTGGCTATCAAGTCCATTGTCATACTTTGACCACCATTATGGTTGGTCTTACTTTAGGCTATCAAGTGTATTTCCATACTTTGACCACCATTATGGTTGATCTTACTTTAGGCTATCAAGTCCATTGTCATTACTTTAGGCTATCAAGTGTATTTCCATACTTTGACCACCATTATGGTTGGTTTTACTTTAGGCTATCAAGTCCATTTCCATACTTTGACCACCGTTATGGTTTGTCTTACTTTAGGCTATCAAGTGTATTTCCATTCTTTGACCACCATTATGGTTGGTCTTACTTTAGGCTATCAAATCCATTGTCATACTTTGACCACCATTATGGTCTTACTTTAGGCTATCAAGTGTATTTCCATACTTTGACCACCATTATGGTTGGTCTTACTTTAGGCTATCAAGTCCATTTCCATACTTTGACCACCATTATGGTTGGTCTTACTTTAGGCTATCAAGTCCATTTCCATACTTTGACCACCATTATGGTTGGTCTTACTTTAGGCTATCAAGTGTATTTCCATACTTTGACCACCATTATGGTTGGTCTTACTTTAGGCTATCAAGTGTATTTCCATACTTTGACCACCATTATGGTTGGTCTTACTTTAGGCTATCAAGTGTATTTCCATTCTTTGACCACCGTTATGGTTGGTCTTGCTTTAAGCTATCAAGTCCATTGTCATACTTTGACCAACATTATGGCTATCAAGTCCATTGCCGTACTTTGACCACCATTATGGTTGGTCTTAGCCTATAGGCTATCAAGTCCGTTTTTGTACCTGGATCACTAGTATGGTTGGTCTGACTAAAGGGAGTTTTGTACCTAGTAAAACAGACAATGAACTGATTTTAGACTCCCTGAAAAAAACATTGGTCTAATAAAAAACCTAGCGGTGCAGATACTAATACAAATTTTATACTGTTCTTATTATTTTCAAATATACAGGTAAAATATATGTTATTTTTGCTTTATTTTTAGCTCGATTTCTAAAGGCTTGGGTTATATATGCAAACAGCCATTTATATAGGGCCATATAATCTGTCAAAAATCTTTATAGTATAATCTAGTTTTCTTGTTTTAGCAAGTGCTTCTGAAATGTTGTCAAGAATTCCAAAAGTGAAGATTATTCGTAATCAGAAACAAGAGGGTATGTATAGTTTAGCTTTATGTATTAAAACATTAAACTTAATTTAACATTAGATCTATATAATTGTAGGAATTTAACGTAATTGGTTTGTTTTGCCCAAACAGGGTCTATATTGTTTTGTAAAGTATGTCTGTTGTCTTTACATAGACAACTTAGCCTTAACCAATTTATTCTAAAATGTGGAGCATTCCTTGTTAGACACAGAATACATGTAGTTCAATACCTTTGTAGGAAAACTTTAATGTATTGAAATATGACCTTGACTCCTTATTGCTTATAGGCTTTAAGTCAAGTTCATAAGTTAAAATTTTAGATGTGAGGAAACTATACAGTCAGTGCTTCTACTTGTGTGCCTGCTTGTGCTTGAAATAGTGCTGGAAGGGGCATCTGATGTTTACTTTCACCAGTGAAGCTATAACCCTTACAGTTTTAGGATAACTTAAATGCAAAAGAAAAAACATAGATTCAAGCACATTATGTTGATGCCTTGTTATAAAGACACATATTTTATACAATGATCCAGGGCTTCCATTAAGTTTCAAAATTTGGAAGTCCGAAACTGCAAAATCTCTGAAATTTGAAGTCACATTATATATTTAACCCATTGCTTCATGAGCATTTTGTGAAAAATGGCTGTTTTCATTGAAAAGTCTCCCGTTACAAGTTCAAATTGCTATAATACTATAAAAACTGCTTCAACACTAATCAAACTTGGCACAAATGTTGACTGGACCATTGCCCTTGCAACAACATGCTCAGGCTTAAATTTTCTGTTACCATGGCAACGAGGGGACATCTCAAAATTGCCAAAAATCACTATTTTGCGTTGATTTTTTCCATCAAAATTGATTTCAAAGTGCTGCAACTTCTCAATGGATTGAGATAGAGTCAAATGCTTTTCAGCGTTGGTAACACGTTACCTTATGATCAATCTGGGGCCATTTACAGCCTCTCACAAGTCCAAAATTTTCTTGGCGATGAGGGGGACTCCGCCACCCTTCAAACCCCCCAAACAGAAGGGGGCACATCCCCCTTCTGGCAACCCCCTGATGTATCTTTTGGTTGGGGGGCCGCGCCGAAGAAGAGGTCACTTTTTTTAACAACATTTCTCAAACAAAAACAAGTGTTGGGGGCCTAAATAAGGCATTTTTTCATCATTTGAGACAGCAAAAAAGGGGGGGGGGGGAAAAAGGCGTGTATATGAAGTAATGGGTTAACAGAAAATGATCAAAATACTTGAAATTACCCTAAATCGTGTTTTTTCATGTTTAAACATGGCCTGTCATATAAATTTGAAGAAAAATTGTTGTTTTGTACATTTTTTTATTTTTTTCATTAACAGAAAATGATCAAAATACTTGAAATTACCCTAAATCGTGTTTTTTCATGTTTAAACATGGCCTGTCATATAAATTTGAAGAAAAATTGTTGTTTTGTACATTTTTTTATTTTTTTCATTAACCCATTGCTTCATGAGCATTTTGTGAAAAATGGCTGTTTTCATTGAAAAGTCTCCCGTTACAAGTTTAAATTGCTATAATACTATAAAAACTGCTTCAACACTAATCAAACTTGGCACAAATGTTGACTGGACCATTGCCCTTGCAACAACATGCTCAGGCTTAAATTTTCTGTTACCATGGCAACGAGGGGACATCTCAAAATTGCCAAAAATCACTATTTTGCGTTGATTTTTTCCATCAAAATTGATTTCAAAGTGCTGCAACTTCTCAATGGATTGAGATAGAGTCAAATGCTTTTCAGCGTTGGTAACACGTTACCTTATGATCAATCTGGGGCCATTTACAGCCTCTCACAAGTCCAAAATTTTCTTGGCGATGAGGGGGACTCCGCCACCCTTCAAACCCCCCAAACAGAAGGGGGCACATCCCCCTTCTGGCAACCCCCTGATGTATCTTTTGGTTGGGGGGCCGCGCCGAAGAAGAGGTCACTTTTTTTAACAACATTTCTCAAACAAAAACAAGTGTTGGGGGCCTAAATAAGGCATTTTTTCATCATTTGAGACAGCAAAAAAAGGGGGGGGGGTGAAAAAGGCGTTAAAAGGCGTGTATATGAAGTAATGGGTTAACAGAAAATGATCAAAATACTTGAAATTACCCTAAATCGTGTTTTTTCATGTTTAAACATGGCCTGTCATATAAATTTGAAGAAAAATTGTTGTTTTGTACATTTTTTTATTTTTTTCATTAACCCATTGCTTCATGAGCATTTTGTGAAAAATGGCTGTTTTCATTGAAAAGTCTCCCGTTACAAGTTTAAATTGCTATAATACTATAAAAACTGCTTCAACACTAATCAAACTTGGCACAAATGTTGACTGGACCATTGCCCTTGCAACAACATGCTCAGGCTTAAATTTTCTGTTACCATGGCAACGAGGGGACATCTCAAAATTGCCAAAAATCACTATTTTGCGTTGATTTTTTCCATCAAAATTGATTTCAAAGTGCTGCAACTTCTCAATGGATTGAGATAGAGTCAAATGCTTTTCAGCGTTGGTAACACGTTACCTTATGATCAATCTGGGGCCATTTACAGCCTCTCACAAGTCCAAAATTTTCTTGGCGATGAGGGGGACTCCGCCCCCTTCAAACCCCCCAAACAGAAGGGGGCACATCCCCCTTCTGGCAACCCCCTTATGTATCTTTTGGTTGGGGGGCCGCGCCGAAAAAGAGGTCACTTTTTTTAACAACATTTCTCAAACAAAAACAAGTGTTGGGGGCCTAAATAAGGCATTTTTTCATCATTTGAGACAGCAAAAAAGGGGGGGGGGTGAAAAAGGCGTTAAAAGGCGTGTATATGAAGTAATGGGTTAACAGAAAATGATCAAAATACTTGAAATTACCCTAAATCGTGTTTTTTCATGTTTAAACATGGCCTGTCATATAAATTTGAAGAAAAATTGTTGTTTTGTACATTTTTTTATTTTTTTCATTAACAGAAAATGATCAAAATACTTGAAATTACCCTAAATCGGTTTTTTTCATGTTTAAACATGGCCTGTCATATAAATTTGAAGAAAAATTGTTGTTTTGTACATTTTTTTATTTTTTTCATTAACCCATTGCTTCATGAGCATTTTGTGAAAAATGGCTGTTTTCATTGAAAAGTCTCCCGTTACAAGTTCAAATTGCTATAATACTATAAAAACTGCTTCAACACTAATCAAACTTGGCACAAATGTTGACTGGACCATTGCCCTTGCAACAACATGCTCAGGCTTAAATTTTCTGTTACCATGGCAACGAGGGGACATCTCAAAATTGCCAAAAATCACTATTTTGCGTTGATTTTTTCCATCAAAATTGATTTCAAAGTGCTGCAACTTCTCAATGGATTGAGATAGAGTCAAATGCTTTTCAGCGTTGGTAACACGTTACCTTATGATCAATCTGGGGCCATTTACAGCCTCTCACAAGTCCAAAATTTTCTTGGCGATGAGGGGGACTCCGCCACCCTTCAAACCCCCCAAACAGAAGGGGGCACATCCCCCTTCTGGCAACCCCCTGATGTATCTTTTGGTTGGGGGGCCGCGCCGAAGAAGAGGTCACTTTTTTTAACAACATTTCTCAAACAAAAACAAGTGTTGGGGGCCTAAATAAGGCATTTTTTCATCATTTGAGACAGCAAAAAAGGGGGGGGGGGTGAAAAAGGCGTTAAAAGGCGTGTATATGAAGTAATGGGTTAACAGAAAATGATCAAAATACTTGAAATTACCCTAAATCGTGTTTTTTCATGTTTAAACATGGCCTGTCATATAAATTTGAAGAAAAATTGTTGTTTTGTACATTTTTTTATTTTTTTCATTAACCCATTGCTTCATGAGCATTTTGTGAAAAATGGCTGTTTTCATTGAAAAGTCTCCCGTTACAAGTTCAAATTGCTATAATACTATAAAAACTGCTTCAACACTAATCAAACTTGGCACAAATGTTGACTGGACCATTGCCCTTGCAACAACATGCTCAGGCTTAAATTTTCTGTTACCATGGCAACGAGGGGACATCTCAAAATTGCCAAAAATCACTATTTTGCGTTGATTTTTTCCATCAAAATTGATTTCAAAGTGCTGCAACTTCTCAATGGATTGAGATAGAGTCAAATGCTTTTCAGCGTTGGTAACACGTTACCTTATGATCAATCTGGGGCCATTTACAGCCTCTCACAAGTCCAAAATTTTCTTGGCGATGAGGGGGACTCCGCCCCCCTTCAAACCCCCCAAACAGAAGGGGGCACATCCCCCTTCTGGCAACCCCCTTATGTATCTTTTGGTTGGGGGGCCGCGCCGAAAAAGGGGTCACTTTTTTTAACAACATTTCTCAAACAAAAACAAGTGTTGGGGGCCTAAATAAGGCATTTTTTCATCATTTGAGACAGCAAAAAAGGGGGGGGTGAAAAAGGCGTTAAAAGGCGTGTATATGAAGTAATGGGTTAACAGAAAATGATCAAAATACTTGAAATTACCCTAAATCGTGTTTTTTCATGTTTAAACATGGCCTGTCATATAAATTTGAAGAAAAATTGTTGTTTTGTACATTTTTTTATTTTTTTCATTAACCCATTGCTTCATGAGCATTTTGTGAAAAATGGCTGTTTTCATTGAAAAGTCTCCCGTTACAAGTTCAAATTGCTATAATACTATAAAAACTGCTTCAACACTAATCAAACTTGGCACAAATGTTGACTGGACCATTGCCCTTGCAACAACATGCTCAGGCTTAAATTTTCTGTTACCATGGCAACGAGGGGACATCTCAAAATTGCCAAAAATCACTATTTTGCGTTGATTTTTTCCATCAAAATTGATTTCAAAGTGCTGCAACTTCTCAATGGATTGAGATAGAGTCAAATGCTTTTCAGCGTTGGTAACACGTTACCTTATGATCAATCTGGGGCCATTTACAGCCTCTCACAAGTCCAAAATTTTCTTGGCGATGAGGGGGACTCCGCCACCCTTCAAACCCCCCAAACAGAAGGGGGCACATCCCCCTTCTGGCAACCCCCTGATGTATCTTTTGGTTGGGGGGCCGCGCCGAAGAAGAGGTCACTTTTTTTAACAACATTTCTCAAACAAAAACAAGTGTTGGGGGCCTAAATAAGGCATTTTTTCATCATTTGAGACAGCAAAAAAGGGGGGGGGGGTGAAAAAGGCGTTAAAAGGCGTGTATATGAAGTAATGGGTTAATAAAGGAAAAGCATTATAAACTGGAAGTCACAAGCCAGAACCAAGGAGTAAATGACTCCCAAACTTCCATTAATGGAAGCCCTGGTGATCATTAAATGTCTGTATAATCATCATTTAATTAAGTGAATTAGCTTTGATCATTTAATTTGTATATACACATGTAGGTATAATCCGAAGTTATAATCTAGCTGTCAGTATGGCACAGGGACCTGTGTTAATGTTTCTAAAAGCTGACTGTGAGGTGAATGTGGGATGGCTTCAGCCTTTGATTGATAGACTGGCTCAATTACCAACTGCAGTTGTTGCCCCTGTATTGGATAAAATTGATACAAAGGGAGAATACTCTGCCTCAATGAATTCTGGAAGGGGAGGTAAAATTTTATAGTTTTTTTGTTTGTTTTTTATAAATCTCAATATACTGTTTAAGTGGTTATTTTTGCGACATGGAAATATTTGCGATTTTTGCGATTTGAAATTAATCGCAAATATTTCATCACGCAAAAATTATTCCCATTTATGCAAACTTTTTTCTATCATTTAAAACACGTTTTCATACAGCATCTTACATTGTACATGAATAAGTTTGTCTGCTCATGTACTGAGATTAATTTTTCTCATGCTTGTTTCTTTAAGTTTGGTCTTAACAAATCACAATATAAATATAAAACAATATATGAGCCGCGCCATGACAAAACCAACATAGTGCGTTTGCGACCAGCATAGATCCAGACCAGCCTGCGCATCAGCGCAGTCTGATCAGGATCCATGCTGTTCGCTATCAGTTTCTCTACTTGTAATAGGGTTTGTAAGCAAACAGCATGGATCCTGATCAGACTGCGCGGATGGGCAGGCTAGTCTGGATCCATGCTGGTCGCAAACGCACTATGTTGGTTTTGTCATGACGTGGCTCATATGTGTTAATGACTCAACAGGTTATTCATATAACAAAAGAATGTTTCAAAATATGACAAAGAAATATGTGATTGGGTCCTTTATCAAACTAACAATGTATATTTCAAACAGTTGTATAAGTAATAAAGGTATTAAACAATTGAAAAGAATGATTACAATAATGGCATATTCTTAACATCTACCAGCTTAATTAATGTTATCACAAAAATATATATCAAATTTTCGCAAATAATTCTGCATGCAAAAAAGGTCCACATTTTTGACATTTCTCAAATTTTTTGTGACGAATAAATATCCACTTATACAGTACTTTGTATTTGTTTGGTTGTAGACTTTGCAAGATTTTAATTTTTGATGCTTGGAAAAAAAACAACTTATTTTAAAGTTATCTTTGAAAATGCAACTGCTATACCCAGTATCATAAACCTTTGTTTAGGTCGAGTTCAGTGTCATCATTCTGTACATGTGTTTTGTGTCATTAGACAGGTATATGCAAACAACAAAAATTATTCAATTTTCATTCCATTTTCAGGGTTTGATTGGAGTTTAATCTTTAAATGGGAAGAGAGCAGTCAAGGAAATGAGCAGCTAAATGGCAAAATTATAAGGCAAGTATTTTTGCTGGATTATGAAAAAGTAACACTTATATCTGCAGAGTTATATGGTGATTTACTACTATAGTTAAATTGTTGAAGTAAGATCTAGTTACCGGTACTAGGTTGTGCTACAGTAAAATGATCATTGTCTTGTAATGAATTATTAGCTATCTATTTATGATCTAAGATATTTTAAAGCAGCCTTGAGCTTTTATTTTCTGTTTGAAAAAAACGTTTCTGTGTTGTTTGAAACTAAGTATTTCAGTAATTTTGTCTTGGAAAAGTGCATCATATCACTGTTAAGCCTTCTTTAAAACAGTGTCTCAAGAGCTATTTATAGAGTGCCATTGAAGTTCTTAAAAGATCGGGTAATGAATCCTCTGCTTTTCTAATTTACATATAGAGAGCGGACTCAGGTAGATTAAAGATAATGAGGGGTTTCCTTATTGTTGATATATTTTATTGTCCGCAAATTTCATTTTCCACTTTAATTCTTTTTATTTGAATTATATGAAAGGACTGAACTAAATATAACGTATTTAACTTTTAGAAAAGCTGAAGGCCCCTTTAATGTTAAAATATAAAGATTGAGCAATCATCGTCTATAGTATCTGGAATATCTGGAAAGATGCATATCTCTAAACTGATTGGACAGATATGTTATTATTAGTATTAGTTTGTACAAATTTAATTTAGTTTGTTTGTGTTGGAAGCTATAAGCTTATTGAAACACTCTAAAATCCGTTCCTGGAACCAACCAGTACTTAGCAATGAATGTAAAGTATCTTGCTCAAGGAAACAAAGGCTTTCCTCTGACAGGGTTTGAACCCATGCAGTTGGCAATCCTTAGATTACTAGTCCGACATGTTAACCACTTGGTCACGCCACCACTCTAGCAAAGTATTAAATGTGTTCCGAAATAAACCTTGATAATAGCTTAACAAAATCATGGAAATTCAAAGCAAAAGCTTCCCAAAATAAAGTAACCCTTGAGCACCTTCAGCATTTTTACAGTGTCATTTTCTAACACCTTTTCTTACTGGTTCAAAACATCTATGTTGTTGTCTTCTAGCTTATACATTAAATTTATCTTGATTTTTTGAATGCCTATTTTTGGCAAACCTGGGGTATAGAATGGTGAATGAAGGGCGGCGGGCGGGCGGGAAAAAACTTTTCGTAACAGTTTTCTCAGCAACTACTTATCAAAGCCTCTTGTTATTTGGTATACAGCATTAAAACTTGGTCCCATTCCAGGGGACTCAATTTCGAGTCTGTCGTTCATCCTCTTCCTGTTTACCGACTTTTCAACATTAATGGTCAATGGTAGGAAATTTTCATGACAGTTTTTTCAGCAACAAATTATCACATTCTCTTGATATTTGGCATACAGCATTAACACATGGTCCCATACGGTGGGATTGGATTTAAGGTTTGTTGCTCATCCTTTTCCTGTTTACCAACTAAGTTGACAATGGGATTGGAATTAATGTTTGTTGCTTATCCTTATCCTGTTTACCAACTCAGTTAAATTTTGGACATCAATGGTCAATGAACCTAAACAAAACTAGTCTTGAATCAAGGACAGGGTAGTATATAAGTTACCCGATGATAATTGCTTTTATAATCATCAAGGGCATAACTGATTATTGTTTGTATTTTCAAAATTGTTGCTATCATAGTACACATGTATGATTTTCAAGTATAAAACAACAATAATATATTTATCATTTTACATGCCATTTACATTTGGTAAAGAATAACATTTTGTGATATTTTCAGGTCCCCAGTTTATCCAGGTCATGTATTTTGTATAAGAAAAGACAGATTCCTACAGCTAGGAAAATTTGATGATGAGCTAGAATTGGAGGGTGGAGACAATTTTGGTATGCTATATATCAAATAATTCATGGACAACCATTTGTTACATTTTCTCATGCAATTTAATCACATGTTCTGATATTTTTGAAGTTGGTGCAAACTTCTTCTAGTTCTCCTGTCAAGCTTGTACATTTTAAATTGATAAGTAAAAGTTGCCATTACAAAGCATTGACTATCCTTTTCTAGTTCTCCTACCAAGCTTGTATATAGTAAAGTGATAAAGTAAAAAATTGCCAGCGCGGAGATAGAAATAGACACACATGCACGCCACGAATATTGAGTTGAGTCAACTTGTATATCCATGGACTGGCTATACTATATACTGTACACTACTTAATTTTTGTATTTTTAGTTTTTGACATCTTAAACCCTTAGTCTGCTGATGACTACAAAATCTTCCCATGCAACGAGTGCAGACCCAAGTGTCCTCTGATCATGGTCTACACTGTTCACTATTCCATTATTATAAAGTCTCTACTTATTTTGAAAGTTTTCCCTACAATTGATAAATGTTTTTGCCTATCTTGAAAGATTAACATTTTCAATTAACAAATTTAGCTTCATAAGGGTGAAGCTACTAATAAAATGATCCAAATTTCAGCAGGGAATGACATGTCAGTCATGCATCTTTAGCAATGTTTTGGTTAATTTAGGGTAAACATTGCTGTTTACTGGTTTGGGACCACCAAAACCGGACAACCACCAAACCCGGACGGCCCCGAAAATGCTTAATTTAGTATTTTCTTTGTTCAATGGTTGTCAGTCACTTTTTTATCAACAATAAATGCATGTTTCTTCTAAAATTAAGTAAATAAATTTATTTCAATCTCCGTAAAAGGTAATATTTAAATGTTTATTTCAAGAATGTTGATGTTGAAATTTTGGGGTCAAGAAAGAAATGCCTGACCACATATACCAGCTATAATCATTTGCAGAGTAAACAATAGAATATCCAAAACTTCAGCATTTGTTGCTGAAATATTGTACATCATGTTAAAAATAAACAAATAAAAACACCCAAGCTTTTATCTGAAATAAATCTGGTCATGTACATATCTGTCCGGACACATGGTACTGAAGTGTAGACAATTTAGGTAATTTTGATACCCTCTTTGTCGAGCCTCAGATATAAGTGTCAATACAATCAGAAATAAACAAACTAGTGTGTTAGTAAGGAGAAGAACCTACCTGAACTGTGTCAAATTTTAATATCTCTAGGTTTAAAATTTTATAATCTGTACGGAAAAATGTTCAAAAAGTGTCCGGTTGATGGTCCCGACCAGAAGTATATACATTAAAGATTGGGCTTGACAATGTAATTTAAAGCAAGTTTGTACATACAGCAGTTGTATGTTGATTATCAGACAATTATAGGTTAAATTTTGTTGAAATATTTGAGCCGCACCATGACAAAACCAACATAATGGGTTTGCGACCAGCATGGATCCAGACCAGCCTGCGCAGTCTGATCAGGATCCATGCTGTTCGCTATCAGTTTCTCTACTTGTTATAGGGTTTGTAAGCGAACAGCATGGATCCTGATCAGACTGCAGTGGATGCGAAGGCTGGTCTGGATCCATGCTGGTCGCAAACCCATTATGTTGGTTTTGTTATAGCGCGGCTCATTTTGTTGACCCGTAGTCAACTGGCGGCAACTGAAAATACCCATGTGACCAGTGCAGACCAAGATTAGCCAACATATCTGTGCTGTCTTATCATGGTCTGCACTGTTTGCTAATTCAGTCTCAACATATTTTGAAATTTTCCTGACTTCCCCAAAAGAATTATGAATAGTTTTGTTCAGAATGAAAAATGGTCAAGTCTATTTAAGATATTAAGTATGGTAAGTAAATATTGACAAATGTAAAAAGAAAACCACACAATATTTTATGTTTCCAGAATTATCATTTAAAACATGGTTGTGTAATGGTGTTGTCGAGATATTGTTGTGTAGTCGTGTAGGTCACCACGAACTGGACAATGAGATTCATGGAGTACCGTCCGGAAAGCAAAACATCTACTTAAAGTAAGATCAGTGTAGGCTTAGTTTATGTTTGAAACATGCTTTCATCAGTGAAATTAGATATTATCATATAACTGGTAAATATTCTATCTCAACTGTTCTTGATGAGTTGGAAAGGTAAAATTTACGTACTTGAATAAAGCAGGTATATACCTTGATTATAATCATAGCTTTTTGCTTATTTAAACCAGTCTCAAGTCCTATTCTGTGGTTATCATGTATACGGTAAGTGGCTTGAGGAATCATTGTTATAACTGTAATTGGACTTGTAATAAACAACAACTAAATATAATAAATTGTTATACATTCTTATACTCCTAAGAAAGCTAACAAGAGACCGCCTCCCTGGTCAAGGGGTTAGAGTCGATGACTTCTAATCAAGTTACCTCTCTGGCGTGGGTTTGATCCCCGGGAGATGCTTTGGTAGTTTAGTGTGGAGGAAGGTAGTCCAGTACTGGTGTAACTCTCCAGGAACGATAGTTAGGAAACTACCAGCCTATATGACTGAAATACTGTTGGAAAAAGGGGTAAAATGAAACAAACAAAAGCTTACAAGCTACCGAATACAAAATGGGAAGAATGACTGATTACTTGAGTATTGAAATATGGTTCTCTTTGCCAACCCTAAGATATATTACATTAATACCTAAGCAATCTCATTCTGTCAATAGATGGGTATTTGTTAAAAAAAAGGTTCATAAGAAATCATATGATATGTTAACTTGTTAGAAATATATATTTTATTTATGACAGGAATATCAAGCGTGTTGCAGAGATTTGGATGGATGATCACAAGAGATTCTTCTACTACACGAAACCTTCTGCTCGAATGTTGAATGTAGGGAGGTCAGATGATATAATGCTTTTAAAACCTCATTAGTTTTATAGTCTACACTTTTATTTATTTGTCATTCAGTATGGGACCTTTTCCAACTGTCACCACGGTGTCAGAATATTTTATAATACACATTCCCAATGGCAAATAATCTTATTTTTTCGGAATCTTTAAGCAAAATTCCCAATCAAACTGAAATTCCTAATATCCAAATGACATTCATTCTGGCATCTTGCAAACAGATATTTCCTCACATTTTATCTTCAAATATTTTTGTTAATGTTATGCTTTGATTGATATTTGTGTTGGTCAGAATACTTATTGTGGCATAATTCAAATACTACACCAAAAGAGCCTGAAAGGAGATTTCGAATGGTACCAAATATTTTTCCCAATTCAGCAATTTTAAGATGCAAAATTTCCCAAACTGGGCTACATACTTTTTAGTCCCCTACCGGTTTACCGGAGGGGACTTTAGGTTTACCCTCCGTCCGTCTGTCTGTCCGTCCGTCTGTCCGTCCGTCAGTCCGTCCGTCCACAAAACTGGATCCCGCGATAACGCAAAAAGTACTGAAGATATTTTAATGAAACTTGATATATGGATAGATGGCAGTATGGAGATTATGCACGTCTTTTTCTTTTCTTCCTATGTTGAAAATTCTGGTTGCTATGGCAACAAATAGACTGAAAATATGGCAAATTTTACACATAACCTGGATCCCGCGATAACGCAAAAAGTACTTAAAATATTTTTATGAAACTTGATATATGGATAGATGGCAGTATGGAGATTATGCACGTTTTTTTCTTTTCTTCCTATGTTGAAAATTCTGGTTGCTATGGCAACAAATAGACTGAAAATATGGCAAATTTTACACATAACCTGGATCCAGTGATAACACAAAAAGTACTGAAAATATGTTTATGAAACTTGACATATGGGTAGATGGCAGTATGGAAATTATGCACATCCTTTTTAGCTCGACTATTCGATAAGAATAAGTAGAGCTATTGCAGTCACCCGAGCGTCGGCGTCCGCGTTCGCGTCGGCGTAACCACTTATGTTAAAGTTTTTGTAATAGTTCAAATATTTTCAAAGTCCATTGACATATGGCTTTGAAACTTTGCACACTTGTTCAACATCATGACCCCAACCTGTAAACAGGAGGAGGTAACTCTATCGAGCATTTTGACAGAATTATGCCCCTTTTTCGACTTAGAATTTACGTTAAAGTTTTTGTAATAGTTCAAATATTTTCAAAGTCCATTGACATATGGCTTTGAAACTTTGCACACTTGTTCACCATCATGACCCCAACCTGGAAACAGGTGGAGGTAACTCTATCAAGCATTTTGACAGAATTATGCCCCTTTTTCGACTTAGAATTTACGTTAAAGTTTTTGTAATAGTTCAAATATTTTCAAAGTCCATTGACATATGGCTTTGAAACTTTGCACACTTGTTCACCATCATGACTCCAACCTGTAAACAGGAGGAGGTAACTCTATCAAGCATTTTGACAGAATTATGCCCCTTTTTCGACTTAGAATTTACGTTAAAGTTTTTGTAATAGTTCAAATATTTTCAAAGTCCATTGACATATGGCTTTGAAACTTTGCACACTTGTTCACCATCATGACCCCAACCTGTAAACAGAAGGAGGTAACTCTATCAAGCATTTTTTTTACTATCAAGCACTTAGAATAGTCGAGCGTTGCTGTCCTACCGACAGCTCTTGTTTATCTTCCTATGCTGAAAATTCTGGTTGCTATGGCAACAAATAGACTGAATTTCAAGATTTCTGATTCTAGTTTTTAAGTTTTTTCACTATAAGTTCTTTATTCCTTAAGGTATTTTCTTCAAACTTTAAATATAAGTTGCTTGTCATCAACCACATCATATGTGACAAGGTTTACAACTCTAGCACAAAATTTATCAGAATTACCTCCCTTGAACTTAAAATTTTCATGAAAAAAACATTGTTTTTTTTAATAACTTCTTTTTCTGAATGTATCTACATGTACTTCAAACTTCATATAAATGTTTCTTATTGTCACTCAACATTTGTGAGTGTTCAATACTCTAGCAAGACTATTTCCAGAATTATGCCCCTTTTGAACTTAGACTTTTTTTTGAGAAATTGGTAATTTTTACTCCAACTTCTTCAATCATGATAGGATTTTTAAAATGTTATATTTTGATAACAGGGATGTTTAAAAAATAACTTTAGAGTGTCCTTCAGTCCGTCTGTCTGTACATAAAAACTGTTTCCTGTGATCATTTTTAAAGAACTTTTTCAACAAATTTACTTAAAATAGGAACCTAAGTGAATGGCCAATGGCCCTTCAGAATGTTGCTTGGGCTCTTACCGGTAGGGGACTTATGGATTGCTTGCAATACTATGATAATTGCTTGTTCCCAAAAGAGCTAGAATCTAGAACACTCACTTTCATGAGAGAAAAACTTGCTCGGGTGCAGGAGGGAAGTATTTTGTGAATATATGCAATTATGCATTAATAATAATACATGTTATTAAGTCAATAATGTTTTTGATTTTTATGCTCCCGTAGATATTTTATTTAAGTGTATCATTGTTGTTTTGTCTGTCTGACTGTCACTCCTACTGTTTCTTATAGCACCTTTTTATTGTTGACTGATATTGGAGGTACCTGCAAATGCATGTTTTTCAGATTTCTTGGATCAATATTTCCAAGGCTACAGAATTGTTGTCCTTATATAAGGACCATTATTAAGTTCAACTCAAAACATTATTGAGGAGTGTTTACTGATATACTCTTTTTGCACTTGGTTCAAACAGTATTTATTTCAGTTTAATTGTATAGGAAGCTTATAGCTTATAACCGCACTCTGGAATCCATTCCTGGAACCAACTAGTACTGAGCAATGAGGGTAATGTTTCTTGCTCAAGAAAACAATGACTAACCTCTGACTGGGTTAATACCCACACAGATAGCTATTTTTCGTTTACTTGTCCCATGCCTTAACTACTGAGCCCTGCCACCTCACTTGTGGCCATGAATATTTATTAATTTCTTTTATTTAAGAAATATTTTCAGTACTTGGTCAAAATGCATCATTTTGGGTTTATTGTGTCGCCTTGAAAAGGTGACATATAGGGTTTACTTTTGTCAGCGGCGTCTGTGTCGGCGGCGTCTGTGTCGGCGGCGTTGTCGGCGGCCCCTAAAGCCTGTCCGGAGCATAACTCAGTCACTATAAGTCTGATTGACTTCAAACTTGGTATGCATGCTTCTTTCAATAACTTGAAGTGCAGTGCACAAGGACCGGTACTCTGCAGTTCTTATTTTTTGAGTTATTGCCCTTTGTTAATTTTCATACTTTAATTTTGTCCGGGCCATTTCTCTTCAACTAAAACAGCTATGGACTTGAAACATCATAGGATGATAGATCTCATTAAGAAGAAGTGCAGTGCATAAGAACCGGTACTCTGCACTTCCTAATTTTTGAGTTATTGCCCTTTGTTAATTTTCATACTTTATTTTTGTCCGGGCCATTTCTCCAAATGTATAAAAGCCATGGACTTGAAACTTCATAGGATAATAGGTCTCATTAAGAAGAAGTGCAGTGCACAAGAACAGGTACTCTGCATTTCTTATTTTTTGAGTTATTGCCCTTTGTTTATTTTCATACTTAAATTTTGTCCGGGCCATTTCTCCTTAAGTATAAAAGCTATGGACTTGAAACTTCATAGGATGATAGATCTCAGTAAGAAGAAGTGCAGTGCACAAGAATCGGTACTCTGCATTTCTTATTTTTTGAGTTATGGCCCTTTGTTAATTTTCATACTTAATTTTTGTCCAGGCCATTTCTCCGAAAGTATAAAAGTTATGGACTTGAAACTTCATAGGATGATAGGTCTCATTTAGAAAAAGTGCAGTGCATAAGAACTGATACTCTGCATTTCTTATTTTTTGAGTTATTGCCCTTTGTTGATTTTCTTACTTTATTTTTGTCCTGGTCATTTCTCCTCAAGTATGAAAGCTAACGACTTGAAACATCATAGAATGATAGATCTTATTGATAAGAAGTGCAGTGCACAGAAACTGCTGCTCTGCACTTATTATTTTTTTAGTTATTGCCCTTTGTTATTTTTCATATTTCATTTTTGTCCTGGCCATTTCTCCTAAACTACATGGCGACACATCCGACTCGCGGAGTTCTAGTTTATATATTTATATTACAATTATAATTGATAATTTCATGTGAAATCAAGAAATAAACTTTTCAAACTACTGTTTTTAAATGTATAATAAAAAGTTTTGTCTTTGAATGATTATAATTGAGTGCTTTTCAGTTTTCAACTTATATTTTTCAATTTTCAGTATGTAGTTTGAAGTTTTCAACCTGCAGTTCACCATTATAATTTATTAACTGTATGTTTCAGTGTAATGGAGAGAAAGTCCTTGAGGAAGAATTTAAAATGCAAAAACTTCAAATGGTATCTGGATAATGTGTATAAAGAGCTAAGGTATGCTTTTATCCTAGTTAAGGTGTCAGTGGAAGGTTATACCAGAAGTTAGTTCATGGATAACCTTTGTTCACTGACCAGCGCATGAATAACCTGTGTACACTGACCAGTGCATGAGTAACCTGTGTTCACTGACCAGTGCATGGATAACCTGTGTTTACTGACCAGTGCATTGATAACCTGTGTACACTGACCAGTGCATGAGTAACCTCTGGTCACTGACCAGTGCATGAATATCCTGTGTTCACTGATCAGTGCGTTGATAACCTGTGTTCACTGACCAGTGCATGGATAACCTGTGTTTACTGACCAGTGCATGGATAACCTGTGTTCACTGACCAGTGCATTGATAACCTGTGTACACTGACCAGTGCATTGATAACCTATGTACACTGACCAGTGCATGGATAACCTGTGTACACTGACCAGTGCATTGATAACCTGTGTTCACTGACCAGTGCATGAATATCTTGTGTTCACTGACCAGTGCATTGATAACCTGTGTTTTACTGACCAGTGCATGGATAACCTGTGTTCACTGACCAGTGCATGGATAACCTGTATACACTGACCAGTGCATGAGTAACCTGTGTTCACTGACCAGTGCATGAATATCCTGTGTTCACTGACCAGTGCATTGATAACCTGTGTTCACTGACCAGTGCATGGATAACCTGTTTACACTGACCAGTGCATGGATAACCTGTGTTCACTGACCAGTGTGGATAACCTGTGTTTACTGACCAGTGCATTGATAACCTGTGTACACTGAGCAGTGCATGGATAACCTGTGTTCACTGACCAGTGTATGGATAACCTGTGTACACTGACCAGTGCATGGATAACCTGTGTTCACTGACCAGTGCATGAATAACCTGTGTTCACTGACCAGTGCATGGATAACCTGTTTACACTGACCAGTGCATAGATAACCTGTGTACACTGACAGGTGCATGGATAACCTGTGTACACTGACAAGTGCATGGATAACCTGTGTTCACTGACCAGTGCATGGATAACCTGTGTTCACTGACCAGTGCATGGATAACCTGTGTACTCTGACCAGTGCATGGATAACCTGTGTTCACTGACCAGTGCATGAATAACCTGTGTTCACTGACCAGTGCATGGATAACCTGTTTACACTGACCAGTGCATAGATAACCTGTGTACACTGACCAGTACATGGATAACCTGTGTACACTGACCAGTGCATGGATAACCTGTGTTTACTGACCAGTGCATGAATAACCTGTGTTCACTGACCAGTGCATGGATAACCTGTTTACACTGACCAGTGCATAGATAACCTGTGTACACTGACCAGTACATGGATAACCTGTGTACACTGACCAGTGCATGTATAACCTGTGTACACTGACTAGTGCATAGATAATCTGTGTACACTGACCAGTGCATGTATAACCTGTGTAGACTGACCAGTGCATAGATAACCTGTGTTCACTGACCTGTGCATTGATAACCTGTGTACACTGACCCGTGCTTGTATAACCTGTGTACATTGACCAGTGCATTGATGACCTGTGTATACTGACCAGTGCATGGATAATCTGTGTTCACTGACCAGACTTCATACTGTTTGATGGTTAATACCAATTAATACCAATAATTCGAGATTTCTGAAATGTACATTTTACATTTACCAACTAAAAATGGGATAATTTTGATCTGAAATATTGCTAGGTAAAGGGTACATAAAGCAGAGTTTTGGTTGTTTTAAATGAGATCATCTGATTGATTTTCTAATAGGTTTTATGAATACAAGCCACACTTTTTGGAATAGTAAAAGAGAACTTATTTCATATTCAATCCTTGAAACTACTCATATTTTGTTTTTTAGGACTCATATTTTATCTAAAAGGATAATGAAACCTAATCTTAAGGCCAACACTTTGTAAAGATCCTTCACAAATTATCATAAAGACCATTTCCAAGATTGGTTAACATAAAATAAAATCTTTGCATTTTAATATTTGAAACAAAATATCATAAAAAATCTCTGCATTTATTTGAAACAAAGTAACATATAAATGGTTGAAATCAGTGGCAGAACTGGTCTCCACTGGTTCTAGTATGATTTTATAGGAGAGGCTATCATGATATTATTGTGTTTTTACAGCATGATAAAAGTGTGATGGAAAAGCAACTCCTAAATACTGTATAAAATCTGTTAATTTACAAATAATGCTTTGTAATTTGAAAACTTTGATAATAACAAATCATAAGATGACAGACATGCTAATTGACTCTTATATAATGTTTATTTGGGAAGGTTACTTGATGTAGTATCAACTTAAAACAAACAACAGAGAGTAATAATTTCCCCTTGTGGCTGAAGCATTGCCTTTAAGGGTTAAGGCATCACGCCCCATCAGAATTGCAGCCACCATTTTAGTGGTTTAGTGACTATATAGAGGGGACGAAATAGGTTGGAATTACTGAAGTCTTTGCATCTCTTAGCTGTAGGAAGTGAGTTGGTTTTTATCCCTGGTGTTGCTTTAAAATTGTAACACCTGAGGTTAGCCAAAATCATCTTTCCTTTTTTGGTGCCATATGACCTAAATTGTATTGGTGTGCTGTAAAACCAACAAGAAAAAAAAGGAAGAAAACTGTTTCTATTAGTTACATCTATATGTTTTCATATATGAACACAGACTACCATTGACAGATGAGATATTGTTTGGTAATATTCGTCAAGATGACCTCTGTGTGGACATTGAGATAGGTCATGTACCTGCTATAGCCAAGCTGAGTGAGTGTAACAGTGACAGAGGCACTCAGGTTTGTATTTAGTTTAAACACATTCAACTATCTTTCTTTGATTTGCTCATTTGACACTGCTGTTGGTAGTTTTCACTCCCAGTCACAGCATTAAGTCACATTGAATTTACAACAGCACAGTTCTGGCCAGGCCATCAAGCACTTTACCAGTTCAAGTTGCCTTCACTTTCCAAAAGAACTGATAATGTCTGTACATGCCAGAGAAGAGGTACAGTGTGGAAGACCATAGGAAGGATTTCATGATCAATCACAATGCAAGTGGCCTGCATTGTCTGGAAATCGAACACAGGTTGCCCGATTCACAATCCAAAACTCTACATATTGAGCTAACTGGACAGTTTTTTTGCACATTTTTTCGCAAAAAAAATCTTATTACTTATGTCATTGTAAAGGCTATCTGTGAAAAGAAATCTCATTCTTTATTTCAGGACTGGTCATTTAAGAAGAAAGGGGAGATAAGCAATGGTGGGATGTGTTTGACAGCGGACACTATTGGCACACATGGTTATGTGATGATACATTTTTGTACAAAAGAAGATTCACAGGTGATGTTATAGTAATTATGTTGACCATTTAACGGCAAATTTTATTCTTTTTTATAGAAAGACTTACAAAACAAGCCCATTTTGTTGTGTAGACTAATAATTTTACTGAAACATTCACAACATTATTTATATAATTTAGATGCAATTACATATAAGTCATGAGACTCTTGAATGAACTTTTTACTTTCCAAAGAATAGCGCAAGCTATGTACTGATCCGAGCATCACCATTAACTTTCGTTCAGTTTGTATGTGCACGTTTGTATCTCCAAAACTTCTGAATGGAATGGGTTGAAACACACCTGTTCTCTGTGATTATCTAAAAGGATTGAAATAGATCAGAGTTATGACCTTTTCTTACAGTCAAGCACTGAGAATAGTCAAGCGGGCTGTTTTATGGACAGCTTTTGTTAGTCATTACATTTGATAGCTTGAATCCTTGATAATTTGTAAAAGCATACATTAAAATGAAATGCAAAAGAAGAAACAAAAGTTATATTCAGAGGGAAAAAACAACTGTGACTTGATATACCATTAAAGGGGAGTAACTCAGTGCCTGAATTTCAGAAGAGCTGTTGAAACTGGATATTTACTGAAAATAAAAGTTTTATCACCAGCAATGGGCAAGAAAGTGATTATTGGCCCCGGATAAAAAATGTCCCATGGGCTGACACATCTGGGGCCATTATAATTTTATAGATAGATAATCACCTACTGGCCATACTCTGCTGTGTATTAACCTCTGTCATAATCATAATTAAATAAATTAATACATGTACATGTATGTTACTACTTATGTCTTAACCAATTAATTTCCCACATCTATATGTTGTTTTACAACGCCATACATAATGCCTTCTAATGCATTGTACAAATGTTATTGTTTTTACAGAAATGGAAATATTTGAATGGTCAGATTTATCGTGAGGGAACCAGTCAGTGTTTAGACAGTCACAAAGCTGATGTAGGTCTCGTTATCTCACAGTGTGAAGAATTGTTTTCTAGTCAAAAATGGAAGGTAGCTTCAAAATCCATGATGTCTCGAAACAAAGATGAAGTTTGAATGAATCTAGTCTATCTTTGTATGAGCAAAAAGACTTGGGATCAAAGTGTCCTTAAAACACAACACTATAAAAGCCTTACACTCACTGGTACTTTGCAAAGTTCTAGGCAGTGTCACAAGTGCCTTTTATTCATAAAAATAAATTCAAAACCCCTTATTAAATTATAAAAATTGGAAATGTTATTAACTTGTAGCCTGCTGGTTGCTACTTAAAAATCCTGTATGTTGTAATTAAGGTTGTATCGCACTTAAGTGAAATTTAATACATTTTGTATATGTACATAATTATGCTTCTAAAACAGTTTTCAAACATCGAGGAATATGTAAAATATGTACTGCAAATATTTGTCCACATTATATGTAATTATTAAAATATATGCATTCATTTCTTATTGAAAAATTTGACTTAGACTTTATAGAAAATAAATTTCTTATGACCTCCCTTTATTAACATGAAATGTAAATACAAATAATGCTTTTTGAAACTTACAATATTGCTTCATTTGAGCATTATATTTATGATATTAAACAATAAAAAATTGAGTTACAGGATCTCTAATAAACCCATACGATCAGAACAGACTAGGATCAGCTGTCAGATCTGTTCTGTACTTCTTGCTGTTCAATCTATACATATTTCAAAATTTTCTTTTAAAGCAGCATGCCTCAAGATTCATGCTAATTTTTATGAAAAATTTGAAAAGGTATAAAATAATGTGACATGAAGTGATGTCCAATTTCTTAATAATGTGTGGCAGTCTTTTTACATTTTTGGCAGATTAATAATTTATCCTTTTTAGCTCACCTGAGGTTTGTTTTGATGATTTCTAGATCAAGTTTGAATATCACCTGGGGTCAAAAACAATGTCACACTGCCCAAATATGGATAAACATTGCTAACACTCTAGTGGTCACATTTTTGACTCGGTTGTCATCAAACTTGGTGAGGATGCTTGTCTAGGTAATTACTTGTACGAGTTCGAATATGGGTCATCTCGGATGAAAAACTAGGTCACTGGAGCTAAAAACAGAAAAATATTGTTAACACTCTAGTGGCTACTGTTTTGATCGAAATATTCTGGAAATTGGTCTGAAAGTTTGTTTTCAAGTTTGAATATGGGTCACCTGGTGTTAAAAACGAGGTCACACAATCCAGATATGGAAAAACCTTGCTAACACTCTATTGGTCTCATTTTTTACTCAATTGCCATCAAACTTGGTGAGAATGCTTGTCTAGGTAATTGCTCGGATGAGTTGAACATGGGTCATCTCGGATGAATTGAAAAACTAGGTCACAGGAGCTAAAAATAGAAAAATCTTGTTAACACTCTAGTGGCTACTGTTTTGATCGAAATATTCTGGAAATTGGTCTGAAAGTTTGTTATCCCCAGCCGATGGAATCGGGAGGGGGATATAGTTTTGGCGTTGTCCGTCCGTCCGTCCGAATTTCGTTTCCGGAGTAGTTCTCTGCAACTACTGGCTGGAATTCAACGAAACTTTATGGGAATCATCAATATCAAGAGGAGATGGGCATATCGTCGGCTTGTTGCAGTCCGACACTTTAACTCAGAGTTATGGCCCTTGATTAGTTATGCAGTATGCATATAGAGTAAAAATCGTTTCTGCGCTACTTCTCTGCAACTACTGGCTGGAATTCAACGAAACTTTATGGGAACCTTCAATATCAAGAGGGGATGCGCATATTGTCTGCTTGTTCCGGTCCAACACTTCAACTCAGAGTTATGGCCCTTGATTAGTTATGCAGTATGCATATAGTGTAAAAATCGTTTCCGCGCTACTTCTCTGCAACTACTGGCTGGAATTCAATGAAACTTTATTGGAACCTTCAATACCAAGATGAGATGCGCATATCGTCGCCTTGTTTGGGTCAGACATTTTAACTTTTGAGTTATGGCCCTTGATAACTTATGCAGTATACAACTAGAGCAATAATCGTTTCCGTGCTACTTCTCTGTAACTACTGGCTGGAATTCAATGAAACTTTATGGGATACGAAGAGGAGATGTGCATATAGTCGACTTGTTCCGGTCAGACACTTATAACTCAGATTTATGGCCCTTGATTAGTTATGCAGTATGCATACATCTCATTGGCATTTCCAGATATTACTATTTAACACAGAGTTATGGCTCTGTTATTGCCCTGAATATTTATCAAGTTCAAAGAATATTACTGTTTATGCCATGATAAATATATGAATAAAGCTTTATGTCTTCAGTTGTTGTGTTAGTAATAACCAGTACTCCGCGGGGGATATAAATTCAACGAATTTGCTTGTTTTGATGATTTTTAGGTCAAGTTTGAATATGGGTAACCTCGGTAAAAAACTAGGTCACAGTGCTCAAACATGGAAAATCCTTGTTAACACTCTAGTGGTCACAATTTTGACTCACCTGTCATGAAACTTTGTCAGAATGCTTATCTACAAAATGTAGGTAATAGCTCGGATGAGTTTGATGGGTCAGATGAGCGATCTAGGGCCATCTTGGCCCTTTTGTTTCCAATATCAAACACCATTATATCAGTTAATCTTTTGAAATACATTGTCAATTCAGCTGAACTTGAAAATGGCAAAATGAACATGATATCCCTTCAAAAAAATTTCTTGATGAATTTCTAAAATGTCATTATTATGATCTTATTTGATATATTGAGAGTATTAATTCTGTGACAAGTATCTGTCATTATGGTACCTCTCTAAAAATCCAAGCATAATACATGTGTTGAAAGAATGTTTTGATATTTTAATGCGCTTGGAAATTTTCATTCCCTAGAGTCCCTCTATTTGGTAGTAAGAAACAGAAGATTCCAGTTTAGTCCGGTTTTGTGGATTTTTATTGTGCTTGTCCCAACTTTTGATATTGTGAAAAGTAAACTTGCATGAATACTAGTAAAGATCATAGACATATTCACTTATTCAAAATAATTAAAGGAGAGGGGTGGATTTGATCATTTTCTTTGTTGAATAATTTGCACTAAGTTGATACATTTGTATATTTTCATTAATTACTTTGAGTTGAGATTAACTGATACGAAATGTATTCCCTATGCAAAATATTTCTTGATCATCATTTTATGTACAAAGTAATGTTAATTATTTTACTGGCTCTTTTGTAAATCTGTCAATATTTGAGCAGTGTTTTGTGTAGCAGTACAAAATGGTGTAATAATTTGAAAACTAATCAGGTTGTGGTAAAACTGCAGTTTCTACCTTTGTCCTCACACATGCGTACTCAACCATTAAACAGAAATGCACTGACAATGCAAAGAAACAAATTTCTTTTTACAAATATATCCATTTAAGCTTTCATTTTGTCCTATTCTGAAATAATTGACTTCACAGAACAAAAGGTAAAAAGGACAATAACCTAAGGTATTGTCATACATATTTTGTATTGTTTTTTGTTTTGTTTTTCTTCAACTTTTCACCTTTTTACTCATTGCTGCATATTAGAATTGTCTATAGGTTGTGTTTTAGTAAATCTCTAATTAGTGCCATACAACAGCTATAGTTTGTGCCAAAATTTTGTTGTGTGCAATATCTCAGATGCTTGTCCAGTCTTGGTTCTTGGTGCCCATACAACCTCCACCCTCACAACACCAAAACAACTTTTCTTGAATTTGAAATTTATTTCCATAATTTTTTTTTCTTTCAAAGTTGTTTTTGGTTGTTGTTTTTACTCTTTTTTATGCCACCGCAGCATCTGCGATGCGGTGGCATATAGCGATTCACCTGTGTGTGTGTGTGTGTTTGTGTGTGTGTGTGTGTGTTATATAGATTATATAGTGAACTTAAAAAATCTTCTTGTGAAAAACCACTTGTCCAATTTCAACCAAACTTGGCAGGATTGATCCTTGGGTGAAGGGCTTCCAAAGTTGTTCAAAGAATTTCATTCCATGCAGAAATTTCATTTAGATATTTTGCATGAAACATTGTGAAGTGAACTTCTAGCAAGATTGTTCAAATTATAGCCCTGGGGTCAAAATTGCCCCTGCCCCGGGGGTCATTGATTTTCAATATATACATACATGAATAGTAAAAAATCAAAAAATCTTATTGTCTGAAGGTACAAGGCTTAGAGCTTGAATATTTGTTAAATGATATCATCTATAGGTACTCTACCAAAGTTGTTCAAATTTTGCCTCTTGTGTCAAAATTAGCCCCGCCCCGTGGGCCATAGGTTTTCCTTATATGTATATAGTAAAAACTTAAAAAATCATCTTCTCTAAATTTACAAAGGCTAGAGTTAAGATATTTTGCATGAAACATTATGTAGTGAACCTCTAGCAAGATTGTACACATTATAGCCCTGGGGTCAAAATTGGCCCCACCCCCAGGACTCATTGATTTTCACTATGTACATATAGTAAAAAGATAGAAAAAAATTTTGTCTGAAGGTACAAGGCATAGAGCTTTGATGTTTGCTATATAATATCATCTATGGGTTCTCTACTAAAGTTGTTTTAATTATGCCCCTAGTGTTAAAATTGGCCCTGCCCAGGGGCAGTGATTCTCATTATGTTCACATAGTAAAAACAGAAAATAAAACAAATCTTTTCTGAATGGGAGAAAGCTACAGCTTAGATATTTGACTTGAAATGTTGTTTGGTGGACCTGTATCAAGATTGTTTTGAATTAAACCCTTGGGTCCAAAATTTTGCCTTGCCCCAGGGGACAGTGACCTACTTCTTGTCCTTTGATGTACAGCAATGAAATTTTGACCATGTGCACAGTTTTAGTTGTAAAATTGAACTTTGATATCAGGTGACCTAGATTTTGATGATGTGACCTACTTTCTTGTCCTTTTATGTACAGCTATAAAATTTGAACCATGTGTACAGATTAAGATGTTAAGTGAACTTTGATTTCAGCTGACCTAGATTTTGACAAAGTGTCTTACTGTGTTGTCCTTTGATGTAGTCATGAAATTTAGGCTGTGTGAAATATGACCATCAAATTCACTAGACTCAAGTGCATTGATATATTCCTACTCTGATCTTTTATTGAGTTAACAACAGATTTAACCACTAATCTGATAATAAGAATTAGATAGGTCAGGGATCTATGCATTATGACAATCTTCAAAATTGTATAGAAACAAAAAAAAATCTGTTCCTCCACTACTATTTAGTGTTGTATTAATGCGGTGGCATAGCATTTTTCTCAAATGCAATCTTGTTTTTTTTTGGGGGGGGGGGGGGGGGGGGTGTGGACACCAAGACAGGAGAGCACCTGTGTGCAATATTACTATAATAGTCTTATTATTTTGATTTATTAGCATAATGTATTATTGTGTGCAATATGTAATCATTTATTAAAAAATGATAAAATTTTGTGTTGAGTTATTTTATGTGCATGTTGGTTAATTTTGTTGCATATCACTATGGGTTTTTGTATGAATATTTAGAAATTAACAGGGAGGTCAACATTTTTGTGATCATGACACTTGAGAGATTCTGATCAGTTAATAATCAA